TGGGGGGATATAGGAGGAATTGGAAGAGACTGAGGAAGGTGTAGAAATGACATAAATGAAGAAAAATAAATTATTACAAAGTTATTAAACAAAGACAAGACAGTTAAAATTTCAAGTTCTGAAATGAAACTAGTTGTTATCCCACTGGTTGATCTTGTCATATGAAGCTCAAAAGCATCAAATTCAATGTAAGACTCTCCTCTCCTTCATCAGTTTCTTCTGAAAAAGCAACAAACACAAAAAAGGAGAGGCCCTCAGGTTCCCTGTGAGGTGACTGAAAACTTGTTTTAAAAGGAGCAGCCAGGCACTAGGCAGTGGTGGCACACGCCTTTAATCCCAGCACTTGGGAGGTAGAGGGAGGTGGATCTTTGTGAGGCCAGCTGGTCTACAAGAACTAGTTCTAGGACAGGCTCCAAAGCTATAGAGAAACCCTGTCTCGAAAAACCAAAAAAGTAGTCTGTCTTACAGGGCTCCAGTTACTACTTGTCTGTGAGGCTTACTTTTTGATGTTAAGCTTGAGAAAATGAGGAGACACTTGAACTTTTTACTATTGATCTTGTTTTATCTGATAAGCATCTCCCCCACCCCTCCAAGAAGAGGTTTCCCAGGGTAGTCACCAAGAAGAGGTTTCCCAGGGTAGTCACCAAGAAGAGGTTTCCCAGGGTAGTCACGACTAACCTGGAACTCAGAGATCTGCCTGCTCGTCTCAGAGTGCTACGATCTAAGGTGTGTGTACCACACCAGGCTATAAGCATTCTTTTTTAAAGCATGAAGTTTCTCAGTGTTTTCAACTGCAAGTGGTACAATGTCTGCTAAATGGACAGTTAGATTCCACAAGGGGCTTCCCCAGGGCTAGCTAAAACTGGTTCCCAGAACATCAAGGCACACACAGGCTTTGGAAACAGGGAGCATAATTCCACACCCTCACTCTGTTCTGGTATGGCTATGGAGCTGAGCCTTGTCTGTACATCTGAAACTAGGAAGAGCAACATTTCAGATGGGTAAAGGTAAAATTAACTGGCACAGGTAGTGCCTCTGCACAATTTCTGGCACACAAACCACTCATTAATGTTAGTTATCACTGCATTTTGACTAGATCCTGTGCAAGGCCTAGGAAAGGGGAGCTGGCAGCCAGTCTCTAAGTCTTGAGGACTCAGTATACCAAGTCCAAACACACAAAAGATTGTAATGTCATGTAATATTCACCAGTAGGAAGCAAGTTCAGGGATAGAGTAGGAGCTAGTTGTGAGTCACTGTATATCACAAATCTGCCCAAATAACCAACCCCAAAGTAGTAACTAAAGCCCAGTACTTGTAAGTCCCCAGAGTGTAGTCTACTCTCCAACACGGGAAGAAAAGCCAATCACTATTGTCAGCCACGTTCCCATCTGGCCAACAGTAGGACAATTACTAATTTTCCTGTGTGCCCAGCTAGCTTCCATTTGCGGGTTATATGAAACTCACAGACCACACAATGAAACCATGACTTTGAGCAGAAATAGTGACCTGACTAACAGAAAATTCTGGCTTTTTTTTTTAAAGTATTTGTATTTATTTATGTATTATTAGTGCTCTGTCTGCATGTATGCCCGTGTGCCAGAACAGGAAATCAGATCCCATTATAGATGGTTGTGAGACACCATTATATTTGCTGGGAACTAAACTTAGAACCTCTGGAAGAGTAGCCAGTGCTCTTAACCACTGAGCCATCTCTCCAGCCTGCTCTAATTCTTACACATAAAAATAAAGTGTATGCAGTTCAATATTGTATCAGAGGTTATTAGGTTAAAAACAGAACAAAAACAAAAAGAAACAAAAGCCCTTTTCATCTTGCCCTACCTGTCTTGCCTATTTACAACCTGCTCTCTGTCCCTCATGCTCTCTGGGTATTGCCTGCCAGGTCAGAAGACCTCAGACTTAATCTCTAGGACACATCTGACTGACTGTGGCCAGGACCGCAGAAAGACAAGTCAGGAGCAGGGCTACATGGAATTTTGCAGAGCTGAACAAAAAGCCTCATAGGCTACAAGTTTCAACAGATAAATCTGGCCATACCTTAGGTTCTCAAATCCAGGCATCAGCACATGAAATAAACCCCCTGAAATGCCACCTTCTAATTATCTCTCACTAACATTTCTTCTTCAAGCTTGAGTTTGGATAGGACTGAGGTAGTGATTCTTGTTGCTACAAGTCCTAGTCGCCAATACCTTTGCCTTTTTAAACCATCACTGATAACTCAACACCACAGTTCCGTCTGATAAAAACAATGATATTATAAATGATGGACTAAGAAGTATGTGGATTAAAACACAGAACATACAATTAAAAAGAAAAATACAGGTAATTACCACAGTATTATACACACATACAAAAGACGTGCCAACTAAAATTTTAGATGTACTCAAGTTTTACTTAAAATAGGGGTTAAAAATGCAAAACAAAACAAAACAACAACAGGCAGAGGTGGTACGTGAACCCAGCGTTTAATCTGGGGAGGTGGAGGCTGGCAGATCTCTGAGCTCAAGGCCACTCAGGTCCAAAGAGTTCCAGGACAGCCAGGCCTACAGAGAAACCCTTGTCTAGAAACAAACAAAAACCGCAAAACACAACAAATCTAATCAGTTTTAACATAAGCAACAAAATATTTCTGCCAAGATTTCTATAGGAAAGAATGCCATTTTCTCTTCCTCTCTCTCTTTTTTCTTTTTTCGATATAAGATTTCTCTGTAGCTTTGGAGCCTGTCCTGAAACTAGCTCTTGTAGGCCAGGCTGGTCTTGAACCCACAGAGATCCATCTGCCTCTGCCTCCCAAGTGCTGGGATTTAAGGGCGTGTGTTACTGCCGAAGAATGCCATTTTCTATAAATTTAAACTTTCTATAAAGTCAGTTTAAATTCATTTAACCTATCAGTTAAAAAAAAATAAAACCACACAGAAATCAGAAATTAAGGCTGACTCACCATTATTACCACAGTTACAATAAATCACAGGAGAAAGTCTGACCTATCACCTACTTGGCACATGCAAAATGAAACACAGTAATATAGTTTATGCCAATACAGAAGAAACAAAATCAATAAACTACTTCACATAAAAGTCATCTGGCTTCAATCTCAAACCATGTACCTCTGCAACTTTTGGAGAGCAGTTATGGGCCAAGACAACTTGGTTTGGTCTTGTCCCCTGGGACCATAGACCTCCAGAAGTTCTCAAGGGTCAAGAGTCAAGCGAGACACTGGCAGGAAGAGACAGGGTGAGGGAAGGAAACAAGAAGCAGGACAGGAGACCCAAGGAGAGGCTGCTAGTGGCAAGGAAGGTGGGTGGGTGAACAGACTCCTTTTAAAACAACGTGAAAGGCCCATGTTTATTAGATGGCTGAACAAGTTGCAAGGACTGACATAAAACATTAATGCTCAGGTCTCTAAGGTTTTATTCCAAGATCCTCAAGCTCTCTCAGTTCCCCGCCTACTGACCCACAAAGGTTCATTTAAAGTTGTGATTAGGGGAAAGATAAAGCAACCTGGTGCGTGCCAAAGAATTCGAGGCCAAAGCTGGGTGTTGGCAGGGCACCCCTTCAATCCCAGCACTCAGGTAGCTGACATCTTCAGTTTCTGGCAGAGGCAGGCAGATCTTGGTGAGTTTGAGGACAGCCTGGTGTACAAACCTGGCTTCAGAACAGCCAGGGCTGTCGCGTGGAAAGAGAATTCACGGCCAGTCTCAGTTACACAGGGAGTGTGAGGCTAATTTGGGCTACTTGAAACCCTGTCTCAACAAACAAACAAAAACAAACAACAACAACAACAAAGTAAATTTGAAGGAGTAAGTGGGGAGGAGGGGATGGTATGACGGCTCAGCAGGTAAAGTCACCTGGGACTCACCTGGTTAAGAATCAACTCTTGACAAGTTGTCCTTTAACCTCGACCTGTGTAAGATCACGAACACACCCACAAACACACAATATAAACAAATAATATTGTAGAAGAGAAAAGTGTGTGCTTGAGAAATCCCAGCAGGATGGGGCAAGACAGGATTGCCTTGGAGTTCAAGGCCTGGGCACCAAGAACTTTTTTCTCAACCAAACAAACTCAAACCAAACTAAAACAAAAATTTAGAAGGCAGTCTGGGGAAGTGACTTTGAAAGAGCAGCGGAGGAAGAGAAAACACTGAGCAGTGGAACGCCACTACTGCAGAGCTTCAGGAGACCTCATGGCCAAGTAAGTCCCTCTTGCTCAAGACCAGTGTCTATCTGGCCCGAGACAGGATTGGGCAGCCTGGCACACCTAGGCCACCGGGGAGAGCACCGGAGCAGCCAGTGTCTCAGAGTCCAGGCTCGCACCGAAGGCGCCCAGAGACCAATAACCCTGCATGGGCCTCCTTTTCCCTGTACAAGCGTCCATGGTCCCCTTTTATACTACATGGGCCCCTACATCAGTGTCTGAGACCTGATTCACCCCACAGGGCCTCAAGACTAAGGACCATTACCCGCTCCCCCCAATGGGCCTCATCTCATCCTATAGTACCAACTCCTAGCTCAATCTCAGCGTCTACAGCCCTGTCTCCCTACAGTCTCTGGGAGCCTGCAATCAAGACAGTTGTACACCCTAGACTCCAGAGACCTGTGGCCACAAGCCTACCTTACCCCGCATGCCTTGATCTGTGTCTCCCGCCTTACCTCCTCGGATTCCCCACAGCCTTCCGAGGCTGGCCTCCACGGCCATCTGCCCACTGACCCCCGAGGCCGGCGTCCACGGCCATCTCCCCACAGCCTCCCGAGACTAGCGTCCAGTGCCGTCTCCCCAACAGACCCGCGAGGCGGGCCTCCACTGCAGTTTCTCCCCACGCAGGCGTCCCCAGCCGGCTCCCCACGGCCGCCCCTCCCTCTCTTCAGCCGCCGGCCGGCCGAGGGTCTCCCAGGACAGCGCGGGCCAGGCGGGCAAAGGCCGCCGCATCCGGGCCGGCGGCCGAGAGTGACCTTGCGCCCGGGTCTCGGTCGGACCTCACCTTCCGCCACGTCCTCGTCGACAGCGCCCTTCACTTGCGAGAAGCACCACTGGAAGTCGTTGCCGCCCGCCGGGCAGCCGCCTCCTCCGGCTCCTGCAACAGAGCGCGCCCGTCAGGCCGGCCCCGCCCCGTCCCACCACCGTCCGTCCACCCACCCGCTAGCGCACGGCACTTACCTGCCATGGAGCGGGCGGGACGCGCCCAGCCGAGCGCGGCCGACCGAGGCGCTCCGAGCGCTCAGCCCCGGCCGCCGCCGCCTCCGCCGCTGCTGCCGCCGCTCCCGCCACCGCCGGGGAGGGAATTTTTTCCCTTTTCAAAATGGCGCCCAATGCCCGTCGCCCCGCTGGATGACGTCATCCCCCTCCGCCTCCTCCGACGGCCAGTGCCGCGGGGGCTGCCGGGGGCGCACCGTGCGCCGACTGCGTCTGCGCGAGCCGTCTCGAGGCTGGAACCGCGTAGCAGCTGCGGGCCGTGGAAAGAGTGTCTTGGAATAGTCCGCCGACAGGTACAGGCGGCCTTCTCGAATTGTGTTAAGGGCCAGGACGCGACACCCCTGCGTCTTTAAGGGCTTCAGACTTGGCTTCTGCGGCCGGCTGGACTCGCTGCTCGTAGGCCCGGACCCTTCCCACTGCTGAACCAACGGGAACGCGGTACCTCCGTGAATCTGCCAATAGAGAGCGCTCGGCCGTGGGCAGGCGGGGCCTCTGAGTCTTCCAGCATCCGGAGCCCAGCACCTGAGTGCGTAATTTTGCCCATCTCCCACGCTCTCTTGCCCCAGGATCTTTCTTAGCTTTTGCGCACCGTTAGCATGAGAGTGCACCTTCAGAGGTTCCTTGATCTCGCAGTATAGCCCCATGGAGCCGTTGTCGTCTTTTGCTTTATTTGTGGGTGTGTCTTTCTAGCATACAGAAGGGTTATTCGCTGGTGGGCTTGACGTATTCGAAATCAATTTTCATAGATACTGTGAGGTTGGCAGTGGGCGTATTGCACCACTAGAGGGCAGTTGTTCCAAATCAGAGCATTCTCCACTTCACAAATGCTGATCTGCCTTTTTAGCAGGCTCTTGCCTGTTCTCTCTGTCTTGCCTCTAATGCTGCTTGTGTGGAATTGATTCGTCCGCCCTGGTGAAGCTTACTCCTCAGTGGAGAAGAGGCAATACGAAAAACATGGGGACAGTCAGGTAGAGCACAGAGAAATACAGCAGCGAAGGAGGGAAAGGATATAGGAACAGGAGAGCTGGCGTCTTAAGAGAGCAATTGGAGGAGACAAGAGTGCAAGCCCTGCAAAGTCTTAGGCAGCTGCTAAAAGTGGGAACAGCCAGTGCACACGCAGGTCCACTCTGACCTTTTCTTCTTTCGTTCTTTGAATTTATCTTTATGCAATCTCAGTCTCTCTCCCTCCCTCCCTTCCTCCCCGCCTCCTTCTCCCCCCTCACCCCCCCACATGCTCTCCCTCCCTCCCCTCCTC